GGCTAATGTTTAATTTATTATAGAGATGAGGTCTCGCCAAGTTACCCAGGCGGGTCTCGAACCCGCGGGCTCAGGCAATCCACTCACCTCAGCCTCCCAAAGAGATGAGAATATTTTTAAGGAAGTTAAGAAAACATGAATTCATACGGCCTGAAGTAGAACCTACTAAGATACATTACAGATATGTACGAAGCAAGAAAGCCTTAGTTAGACAAATGTTCAAAGCTTGTGAAAATATTAGTTTAAATCCTATGGCTGTACATTGTATCACTAAATAGCACGTACTTAACAAGAAAATATTTGAATCTTTTTTGTGTCATTGAACCAGTAGTGTCAACAGGAAACTTCATTTGCTCTCATGGACTAAATAAATCATTGTCAGTTTCATGAATTTTTTCAGAAGTAGAAGTTGACTATTTTTTTTTTTTTTTTGAGTTGGAGTCTCACTCTGTCGCCCAGACTGGAGTGCAGTGGCCACTGCAACCTCGATCTGCTGGGCTCCGGCGATCCTTCCACTTCAGCCTTCCAAGTAGCCGGAATTACAGGCATGTGCTACCACGCCCGGCTGATGTTTTTTGTTTTTTTTTTTTAAGTTGGAGTCTCACTCTGTTACCCAGACGAGTGTAGTGGCCATTCCCGGCCACCGCAGCCTCGACCTGCTGGGCTCCGGCGATCCTTCCGTCTCAGCCTTCCAAGTAGCTGGAACTACAGGTGCACGCTACTACACCCAGCTAATTTTGATTTATTGTAGAGATGAGGTCTCGCCAAGTTGCCCGCGTGGGTCTCGAACCCGCGGACTCAGGCAATTCACTCACCTCAGCCTCCCAAAGGCATGGGATTACAGGCTGAGCCACCGAGCCCGACTGAAGTTGACTATTTCTCACTTGCCCTACCAACAGTAATTCAATAGCTTAGCAGTGGCAATATTTTGAGACTTTTTGAACTCAGGGGCTGAGAATTGAAAATATTCTGAATGAGAAAAACCACCCTTGACCACTATTATTAAATACTAAATGGTTTTTGAAATTAGCTTTTGCTATAGGCTTGATAATATCTCTTAATGAATTTTACCTAACATTACAAGGCAAAAACAGTGTTTATTTGTGAAACTTCCGTAAAGTCATTCAATGAAATTAACAGTTTGAATCACCAGCCATGCCAAGTTGTTTTAATCACTTCCCGTGGTGTCAAAAGTTAAAACAAAAATCAAGATTTGCACTCCCACACAAATGTGGAGTGGATGTATTTCCTGAGTTTAAATGACAGTTTTAGCAGAGTTTTTTGGACTTTGATGCCACTCCAAAAGAAATTTCTGTATTTCAAAATCAATTTAATTGTGCAATTGAGGAGCTTCCAGCTAACCTTCAATGGGAAGTGATTAATCTGCAATGTAATGACATGCTAAAAGGCAAATATCAAGAGAAGAATCTAACAGAATTATATAAATGCCTTCTAAGAGATGAATGTGCTCAATTAAAATCACATGCTTGTGGATTGATACCAGTATATAACAGCACTTATCTATGTGAATTTTTTTCAAAGATAAAATACATAAAATCTCATTACAGATAAACTTTAACAGATGAATATTTGCATCCCATTTTGTTGATGGGAACACTCACTTTGATCCCTAATTATGTGAAATATCATCCGCCTTCATAAAATAATACCATCCTTCACACTAGTAGACCTTTATTGCAAAAAATTATACTTAATTATTAATATTTTGAATTTCATGAGTAAACATTTGTGGAAATTTGTTTTGTCTCTTGTTATGAAAGTACTTACACAATATTCTTGATTTTGCTTGTTGGTCCTCATAGCCTAAAATATTTTTTCTTTAGCCTTTTACAGAAAATATTTGCCCACCCTTGCACTAGACTAAGGAACATGAAGGGTGAGATATGTATAATTTACCACTGTACAACCAGTGTATAGCACAGTGCCTGCCACACAGTAGAAGATCAATAAATGCCAAATAACATAATCATAAGAATGACATTGGAATAAGACCTAATGAACTAACACTATGATTTTCTAAGATATAAACTGATAGTTCTTTTATACTTGATTCATGTTCATTCAAGGGCTGGCAAATTGCTTTAAATTCCTATTGGTTTACATCTTGTGTATCTTGAACACTACACTTTTCTAGCCAAACTATCAATTTTCTAGTCACTGGCTACTGCTGTCTTCCGTAAGTTCTCTGTTAAAAGTATACTAGTTTGATGCCATCACTTGAACTATTCAAGTTATCCAACGTAAGCTGTCTCAATGTCCTTATTCTGGATTGCTCTAGGATCCTGTGCCCCAGAAAGAGAATTCTGGGAGAATTTCTTGGTTGGGGAAGTAAGGGTAAAAATGTTTCCTTATATCTAGAGCAAACAGAATTATTAAGATTTCTCAGTGGGACATGGTGACTCATGCCTGTAATTTCAGTGCTTTGGGAGGCCGAGACAGAAAGATCGCTTGAGGCCAGGAGTTCAAGACCAGCCTGGGTAACAAAGTGAGATCCTACCTCTACAAAACAAAACATAAACAAAAAATTAATAGAACATGGTGGTGCATGCCTATAGTCCAAACTAGTTGGGAAGCTGAGGGAGGAGGATTGCTTGAGCCCAGGAATTCAAAGTTACAATGAAGTATGATTGTGCCACTGCATTCCAGTCTGGGTGACAGAGTGAGGACTCAACTAAAAAAAAAAAAAAACCAAAAATAAAACCTTTCATTTTTTTTTGTTGGGCTAGGTGCAGTGACTCATGCCCATAATTCCAGCACTTTGGGAGGCTGAGGCAGGAGAATCCCTCGAGCCCAGGAGTTCGAGATGAGCCTGGACAACATAATAAAACCCTGTCTCTACCAAAAAAAGTTTTTTTTTTCTTTACTTGCAAATCATTTATATGATTAGAGTCTAGGATCAAGAATAAATAAAGAACTCTTACAACCCAACAATAAAGTGATCACCCAATTCAAAAATGGGCAAATGATTTGCATAGACATTCTTTTTTTAAAAACTTTTTTTTTCACATAAACATTCCTCCAAAGAAGATATCAAAGAAGATATATAAACTGCAAATGAGCACACGAAAAAATGCACTACATTAGCCATCAGGGAATGCCAATCAAAATTACAATGAGATACCACTTCAAACCCACTAGGATGGCTGTAATAAAACATATAGATAATAACAATTTATTGGCAAGAATTTGGGGAAACTAAAATCCACATACATTGCTGGTGGTAATGTGAAATTGTGCAGCTGTTTTGCAAAACACTCTGGTATTTCCTCAAAAAGGTTAAACACAGACTGACGATAAGACCCAGTGATTCCACTGAGGTAGACACCCAAGAAAACTGAAAAATAAGTCCTCACAAAAACTTGTACATGAATGTTTATAGTAGCATTATTTATTTTTTATTTTTTAAATTTTTTAATTTTTTTGAGTTGGAGTCTCACTCTGTTGCCCACACTGGAGTGCAGAGGCCGCTCCCGGCCACCACAGCCTCGGCCTGCTGGGCTCCGGCGATCCTTCCGCCTCAGCCTTCCTAGTAGCCGGAATTACAGGCATGCGCCACCACGCCCGGCTAATTTTTTTATTTATTGTAAAGATGATGTCTCGCT